TTCATATAGTTTTCTTTAAGTTCAAAGTAGTCTAAATACCATAATGTTAAAGAGAAATCAATTCTTTCCTTTTAAATTTACATAAAAACAGTTTTACTTTTGTGGACATTCTCCCATCTGATGTCAGGAGCTTTCAAATGGATAAAATACTGTATTAGTAGCCTATTTCCAGCCAATTTCTCACACTGAATGATATCATCTGCCGGCTGAATGAATAATTTGTTCCCATTGTTGTCTTGTCGGCGACATCATCACACAAATATGTTGAGCATTTGTGACAAGACCTCACAAACAATGACTCGCTACCAGGAACCACTGTGTGAATACCTGCTGGTAATGCTTCTGTTTCTTTAACACATGAGAGGAAAGCTGGATAACGCACACTCCTAAAAAGCATCTCTACTCCACGCCTGTTGTTTTATTTATTTAATGGTTGTAAGAGTGAATGAATGTGAGATGATTATGCACCAGACTGACTGACACCCTTTAAAAATGTGATGTCGTCAGTAAAGTGGTGCAATACACAAGGGTTAACCTCACAGACTGCATTCTATCATAATTACAGTCAACTGTAAAGTCCTGTGCGTAACATTTATTTATGTATTCAGATGGTTGCTATCTGCAGCTTCACTGCTACATGCCACTGAACACACACTGGTCCTTTAAGTCAAACCCTTTATTATGTTTTCAGTGTGAAATTAAATGTTTCTGCTGTATTAAGCATAACTATAGCCTGAAAAGAGTCTTTACCGTGTGAGTTTAGCCCAGTGAGGTGACCACTGAGGACACTGAGGTCATGGGTTAAATAAGGGTTTTTTTTTCTCCAGAAATTTGGTGGTTTTAGCAACCTTGGGGTATATTGTGTTCAACAATTAAAACGTATTTAAGGCTGATTCAAATATTTTTAAACTCATGTATAGAGTTTTGAAACAACATTTTCACATTCATGTTCAGTTACACTTTATTTTATTTTATGAGCAAGAACTGTGTAATATGTTAGTTAATAAACGAGGACAATAATTAGGGCAATGAGTCGAGGCACATTATTTAGTTTAGTTGTGTTGAGTTTATATGTTTTTAGCCAACAATTGATCCTACAATCAATCATTGTCTATGTGCCTTAAGCGAAATACCTCCTGACCTCCATTGTTACATAAACTATTAAAAACACACCATTCATTCCTTCATTACCATGACAAAATATGTTGTCCTGCTGCTGTAAGCATGCTGACTACACAAAAAGTTTATTCATCTTTAACTGAAAGTCCCCCACAAATGCACTATTTACCCCAAAACTACCAGAACCCAGCTTGTTATTATTTAATAGAGTTTTAATATGAGTCATATATTTGTTTTCAGGAGGAACTAATGTTGTTTTTGTCATGTGATTTGTTCACAATAATAAAAAAATACAATATTGCTAACCTCATCCTTTAAATAAAACTCACAGAGAGTATAATTTAACAGCAAACTGCATTAAAACATGTAATAAAATAACTCATTAGCAGTGGCAGGATTTGACTCATGGGCTCAGTATTTATAAATCCTGACCGCAGCCATATTTTTCCATAGTAACATAAAATGAAAGTTGGCATCATGTCAGTCACAGTTTGATACTTTTTAACTGGATATTCACACATAAACTTTATTCAACACACTCCCAGTCATCTTCATCATCCTGTTAACAAACTATGGCTCACACTTATAGCATTATAACATTAACTTGATCAATAAATCGACTCTGTTAGTCTCGTTTGTATTTAACAATGTCTGCTGAAGTCGACACTACAGCCTCTTTGATCCAGCTCTCCCCAATAACTGTCGCGTCACTTCCTCGCCCCATGCCCATCCCTTTGGAAAGAAAAAGAAAATTCACACAGACAAACGACGGCGAGAAAAAGAGCGAGGGAAAAGTCGAGAGGGAAGCGAAAGCAAAAAAAAAAGCCAGATGAAAGAGTTGGATACTGAGGAGGGAGCCCACCAAACACCAGAATATACCCTTTAAAGTAAGTTTTTCCATACTTGTTGAATGTTTTGCTGACGCTCACTCAGGTCGATTGATTAGTTTTACATTGATCCGATCGCTCCTCTCACTGCTCTGCCAGTAAGTGTGACCATCGCGTGCTCTTCTGATAAGTTATAAAGTATAGATTTAACTAATATAATTTATAATTTACTTTTGATTGTGATTGGAAAGCCCTGAGTGTTGGGGTTAGGCCTGTGAGCCCCCTCCCCTCCCAAACTCTTAACTCTCTCACACATACATAAAAACCACTAAAAAGAAAGATTTCTTTATTCTGATTTCAAGTGTACAATGCTGATCTAGTAACTTATTACAGTGGCCTTGCCTGTCACACATGATACAATTTATGGGGCTTATATTGGCTCCCACCAACTGTAAAGATTGGTTATTAACTTAATTATTAACTTCAAATGTTACATTGTTGGTCTCAACAGGAATAGTTTTTCCATGTTGAAATATAAATGAAAAGTAGCACAGTTTAATTATTTTTGTGTCATCGTTGAAGGTTTTTTTTTTTTTTTTGTAGAGAAGTTTGTTTTTGTCCACATACACACACCCCTGAGGGTAGAGAAAAGTATGTGCTAGCGTTGCATGAGTGTGTTTCAAGTACAAGTCTCAGCATGGCCTTCACAGCCACCAGTGCCAAAATGCTCATTGGTTTCCTACAAAGTTGCTCAACATGATGTGAAGTGTTGACGCTGCTCTGTCTTATCAGGATTCTGGACTGGGACTTCAGTATTTCTGCACGTTTTTGTTTTACACCGTTATCTCACAGTGTCACATCTGTCACTTAGTCCATGCTATCATATATAAATAAGATTTTACCCTCTTTTTTTTGTCTACAGTCATGCCGCTGCACAAATCATCCCGGGCCCCTCGCCTGGACCCTACCATGATCTCAGCCCCGCTGGGTGACTTTCGCCACACCATGCACATTGGGAGAGGAGGTGATGCCTTTGGGGACACTTCCTTCCTTTCCACTCTTGGCCCGAGCCAGGCCAGCCCAGACCCAGGTAGTCCAGGAATCGTGCCGGATGCTGACCCTCAGGTGGCGGTCAACCACAGTGATCTTTACACAGATGCTCCAGGAAGCCCACAGAACAATGAGCTTCAGCACTCTGAATCAGTGTCTTCATTCACCCTGGACCTGGACCTGGATCTAGGCCCATCTATGCTGGGGGATGTACTGGGTGTGATGGACGGTTTGGGGCTTGACTCTAATGAGGAGGATGTGTTCAGTACCAAAAGTGGCGCATCCTTGGTGGGCGCAAAGCAAGGGAAAGGAGCCATGGAGATGTCTGTGAACATGCAGAATGAGCTGAACGGGAAGAACTTGGTTGGGTTGGATACAAACCAGGTGGAAGACGGCAGGATACCAGATGGGAATGGAATCAAGCCAAAGGGGATACGACCTAAAGTGCGATTCAGTGACAAACGAGAGGAGATCATTCGCCAAGCGTCTGAGGAGGAAGAGGGTCAAGGGTTTGACTTCCAGGATGAGGATCAGCTGGCGTGTCGTAGTCCAACGAGGGGTGAGAGCGAGAGGGGCGAGAGCATAGGAGGTGGAGGTGAAACCGAGTTCACAAATCACAAAGTGGATTTGCCTCCTAGTCCGGCCTCCTCACATAGCTCAGAGTATGAAGGAGTCACCTCATTGGACAGGAGGAGGGTCGACAGCTGCCACTCAGAGACTGATTCAGAGGAGGAGGAGGAGGAGGAAGAGGAGGAAGTAGGACGGGGCTACACATTTGAAGACGAGTTTGATGATGAAATCGGTCTATAGGGGATCAAATACGGTTTCCCCTTAAAAAAAAAACAGATCTTTGCTGTCAAGTAAATCAAATATACTGTATTTTCTTAAACTCATTATCTCAGTATCATTTGAAGGGGAGGCTTTAACAGAATGCAAACTGGATTTTTCAAGTCTCAGAGAGATACAGTTCGACGATGTTGCTCAACTGGAAAATACATTTAATGTTTTATCTATGAGGGTAACAGATTTGCAAAAGACTGTTATTTTGATCAGAAACAATGTGTCATTTAGGTTATTACAGTGAAAGATTTTGTAGCACTTTGATTTATTTTTCTCCTGGAAGCTTTGCTATGAAACTGATCCTCAGTGGAAAGTTTGATTCAGGCTAAATTAATGATGCTTGCATTGTCTTATATTTGCCATTTAAAGCAACCGGCGTTGTGTTTACTGAGCTTTATGTTATAGTGCCTTACAGGGAGCTGTATGCTTCTGTTATTGTACCCTGTGTCATATCCATGTCTTAATAGTTATTTCTCATATTGCATGTTTATTACAAGCTGCATGTCCTCTTTTGATGTTTAAGCTTTACAAAATAGTTCCCAGAGACAGTGTCAGAAAATAAAGTTATCCTGTGTATGATTACTGTGAATTCGTCACATTCCAAATCTGAAAGTGTGAGTTTCTCTGGTTGAGACCAAATCTGATCTGTTTTATGCAATGTGTTTTCATACTGCAGTTATTTAGCATGTTTTCAAGTTACCAAAGCTTTTCTTTGGGCTGTGGGGCTGGACTAATACTAAAGCGCTATGACAATCATGGGATTTAAAGGTCAATTGTAAATCGGGACCAGCAGTGTATTTTTGTATGTTATTTGCTTGTATAACGCTGGCTTTTGAAAAGGTTTTTTTTTTTTTCATGATGCTGTAAAAGGGAGAGACCATTGTGCTCATCTGTTGAAAATGCTGGTTTAAACACGTGTTATCCTGTGGTTACGTAGGGATTACAGTGAAAACAATAAAACAATTATTGGGATTTAAAAATATTTATCAACCTTGGCTGTGACTTGTTTTTCTTTGGAAATTACTTCAGTATTCAGTGTGAATTTAAAGTTTATGAATAGCCACTTCCTGAAAAAAGTGATTCAGTGCTTTCCTTTTTTACAAATAAAAAACACAAATAGAGCAGAAGACTCTTTAAAAACATTAATTGAAGAAAACAGAACCATTGTTTTAAACATTTTATTTTAAGCATGCAATAGGGAATGCCTAAAATAGTTCATACATCTGTAAAAAATACAGACTAAAGTTCAACAGTGAAGATTGTAACACCATATGGCGCCTATGTTGGCCAATAAATGTCCAAAAGATCACGGCTGAGTTATGTACATTATCAAACATATTGGGATTTACTGCGCATTACACAACTCATGTAAATGCAAAAATCATGTGTTTCTCTTCTTCAAACACACACACACACACACACGCACGCACGCACGCACGCTACACAGATATTGTCCTGAACACATTGAATCCTGACAGAGCTGTGGAGATCATCACACCAGGTATCTGTGGGTGCCAGTGGAGCTCCTTGATCTCTGACTGACCCTGGTGCAGGAACAGAAGTTGAGGGGGCAAGTCCTTCACCCCCTCCACCCTAGCACCCACATCACATGACTCCACAGACAGATCCCACTGGCTGATGACATCGTCCGCTGCCGAGGCAGCGAACACACTCGAGTCCACGGGGCTCCACTCCACAGACGTGACTGGAGCGCTGTGCTGCTTGAAGTTTGCCACGGGCCTCCCGGTCTGCAGGTGGAGCAAGAGCACGTAAGTGTGGCAGTGTACAGGGTATCCGGCTGCAAAAGCATCACTCCTCTAACAGTAGCACTGATTTTTACATCTGTGTGCTTTCGGTTTGTTTCTCACAAGTTGCAACAAGACTAACATAGGCGTGTATTTTATTAGCAAATCAAAAACAAATTCCTTTATCAGGCCAAAGGTGGTAAGAAGACACCACCATGTTATTGTTAGGTGTGGTGGGCAATTATCTGATGGTGTAATATAACAAGTACTCAACACTGGCTTGTAGTTCAATAGTGTGTTACTTTATTGTGACACACTGATCAAACAGTAAGATCTTCACTCCCTTTCATACAATAATAAGTAATGACTCATAGCTGTCTAAGAACATTACTGAGTTTTTGCAAATTCAACTTTTTTTTTTACCTTAAACTGTCGCAGGTCCCATACTTTCAGAAGCCCATCGTCCCCTCCGGACAGGATGAATGGTTCGGTCCTGTTCCAGCTGATCACATTGACGTCTGATGAGTGAGCTTCACTGGCTGAAAGCATTGAATTGGGTGGGGCACGGATGTCCCAGACACGAATAGACTGATCCACCGAACAAGATGCAAAAACCTGTGGCAAGCAAGAGAGTACGGATCATGAGATTTGAACTTTAAGCTCTAATCTAAGACATCATTGGTCTTCCTAAACAAGGAACCGTATAGAAGTAAAAGGGTAAAACCAACATCAGGCTGTAGGACTTACATCACAAACCACTAACTAGTTTGGTGACTTGTTATCTGCAGCACTGAGACAACGTATAACTTACATATTTTAGTCTTTTGCGTTTAATTGCAACACTGCGATAATGTTCACAGGTGGTTTTTTAAAGATAACATAGTTTCATTCATTCCAATCATTCATGTCTCTCGCCTCACCCTGTTCTTCCATACAAACACCTGTACAGCACCAGTAAGCTCAGTTTGACATTATATAACGTGGAAAGAATTCATCCTCTGCATTTGAGTTATCCAACTATTTCAGATCAGTGCCTACTTCAGCTCTGTGATCAGGAGGCACCTAACATGCATGTCAAATCCCAATATGTATGTCTACTTTATATGTATGTATGTATGTATGTATTTTTGGTATGGGAGGAAACCCGCACAAACAAAATATGTCCTTCAACACTGAACCACCGCTCACTTAAGCACCACCTTCACCGCCTCAGTCTGACCCACTACGTCACTATTTTCCTTACACACATACCGTGGCTTCGGTGGGTGACCACTGCAGATCCTCCACAGACTTGCTGTGGGAGCTGAAAGGTCGTTGGTCAATCTGCCATGAAGTCCCTCCCTCTCGGGGCTCCCACACATGGATGTTCTTTTTGCAGTCTCCACTGACAAGACGACCTGTTAATAAAAGTACAAACACAAAACACTTAATTTCATTAAATCTACTTATCTATAATGAAAGTTTGTACCACTTTCATTCTTTGTGGTTGTGTGCACATTTTAGCACTTTATAACTACAACTACGTGTATCTGTTACATAATTCCAGACCAGTTTTCAACTCTGCTAAGGAGGTTATGTTTTGGGTTTGTTTGGCAGTTTCACTTAAATTAGGTAGAAAGCTGAGCCAAGCATAAGATTATTTTTGCGTCTGGATGGATCAGGATCCAAGGGTTTAAAGATTTAATGGACGGCACTTCATGTATAGATAGACATATTAATCGGGCTGATTTGTTTTGGCATTCTGAGATAATCTGCACCAGCCAACGTCTGCGCTCATGAGACTGATACAGCAAAAATGTCTGCAGGCAGCCGTGCCAGTGTGGCTGCTGTGGAACAATGTTAGCGCTGCCCTTTGTTAGTTTTGGGACGATGGTGAAAAAGTTTCCAGCCCTGTACTATAAACACTTTTCAACCAATCCTAAATGACAGCAAAACTAATCTAAAACCATTATTGGCTTGAAATCTACAGTGTAGCTCAATGTATTTTTCTGTTTCATTAATTAATAAAATATCCATCTAAAAAAAAAATGTTACTGGCTAAGAAAATAATGTATAATAGATTGTAATGTGCATGTAATAATGGAATTAGATAGGACTTTTCTTTGGTTTGATATCGTCATTTTATATATATATATATATATATATATATAATACCATTGATCGCCCTGCTCTCTAAATATTGGTCACTGAAAAACCCATATCGGTTGTCCACAGATTTCATTAATCTGTGTTACACCTCTGGAGCCGCTGTAACAAGTGAATTTCCCCAGTGTGCGATCAATAAAGTCTATCTTATCCATCTAATGTATAAACTCTTTTCATTTATAAGCTACAAACAACCAGCAAACATGTTGTGACAAGGACAATGTGATTTGGTTGTCCACTGTTCTCACGTTACTCACACATTACAAAGTAGATGCAGTCACACAAGGTTCATTTTAAAGTCAACAAGGCCAGAATGTATGCACGTTGTCTTTTTTCCATCTGTAAATTGCCTTGCAGGTAAAGGCCTTACCTACCAGGTACTGTAGGTGACCAATCAATCGCAAAGCCTTCAGTCATGTGTCCTGAGAAGCTGAAGAGAGCCGTGGCTTCCTTCTGCTGTTTGACAAAAGTTGCCATAGCGACAGAGCTGTGCACGGCTTCCAGCTGAGATTGGAGGTCAAATATTTCTACCTGTCCCTTCTCTGACCAGACAGCAGCCAATGACTGCACCCCGCGTTGAGTCACCTGGGGATTAAGAAGCAAAGTCAGTAATTTGGAACTTCAGACACAAAGTTTCAGCCTTAATGGCTCAGTTCAAATACTGCTGCCTAGAATTGACACACAACATACTCGGACTCTGTTTATCCCTCCATAGTGAGGCATCATGGCCAGTTCCATCTGTGGCTTCTTATCTTCATCCTCCTCCTCGTCTTCACTTTCTTCATCGCTGCTTTCTTCCCCCTCTTTTTCCTTCTCTGTTCCATGAAGGTTATGCATGCGCATGACAATGAGTCTGCGAGAAAGTGAAATAAAATGCATTTAAAAGGAGGAAGAAGAGTTTATAGCCTGTACAGTTTTTTATTTATTAGCAGTGTGCAGAAGATAAACTACTCGTGAGAAAAAAAAGTCTCTCTCCTCGTATGAAATAATATAATCCAAAAAATCTCTGAAAATGATTTCCATTAACCCTTTAGGGTTAACTAAGATGTACTTAAGGAAAGTCCCCATGACTTTACTGCTGTTTGGATTATGTCAAAACATAACTGAAACTGTGCAAAAAGAAAAAAAAAGAAAGAAAACAAACTTTAGTCTCAGTGTTTGGACTTCAAAAAGAAATCTGCAGTTTAAATGGACATATTTGGTATTTTCTACCACAGGCATCCACCTCTGTCCCACTCAACAAAAAGCTGTGTCGAACAGGACTTCCATTTAATAATAGGCACTTAAAATCAACTGAATGTATCTATTCTTATTAATACTCTACAATTATAATATAAAGGGACGAGTGTAAATTGATTTAGTGTCGATGTTATACTGTCTATATGGTTGTTAAACACAGGCACTGTTTGGCCTTTTCAGTTAATCAAAACTGCTTTTAACGAAACTAGATTAAAGATTCCTTAAATCTAAGATTTCCCTTAAATACAAAACATGTAGTTGTCTGAGATATTTGTAAGCTCGTGAGAGATAAAAATTAACCCCAGCTGTTTACACTGAGGAGTGAACGAATAATTAACAACCAATTAATTAGTAATGAATTAAGAGAAATTAACAAGAGTAACTGAACACTGTGCCTCTAATTATCAAAGGCCATCTAGAAACTATAGTTATATATATATATATATTTTTTTTTTTATATATATATATATATTTTTTATATATATATATATATTATATATTATAAGTAAGTAAACATATATATATATATATATATATATATATATATATATATATATATATATATATATATATAGTTTACTTAAGTACTGTTCTTAAGTGCAAATGTGGTGTTTTTATTTATTTTGGCTAATAGACCTCTGCTCAGGTGACGGTGTGCCAAGTTATGCTGGGAATTATGGGAGTTCACCAAGGTCCATTACATCCAAAGTCAACAATACACAGTGACTCTAAACCGGTTTGTATGTTGTTTGTTTACACTGGAAAAGTGAAAAAAAAATAAGAAGTACAAGTTAAGTAAAAACAAATATGGAGGCCTCAGTTCCTACAGATTTTAGACATCAATGTCTTTTGTTGAGATTCTGAATTCTTCACATCAAGTGAAACGCTGCGCACATAACCAGAGGTGTGTTAGCAAGGACTCAGATCTCAAGGTACATCGCCATGTAAGTCCTGGTGTCTAATAATATGCTATTATCCTTTCATTATGGCTGATTACCCTTGTTATATCTAATCATATGAACCTTCTTTCTTGGTTTGTTTTTGTTTTGATAAATTATTGTTATTTCTAAGTAAGTATTAAGTACACCCAGTTGTGGAAGAAACACTCAGATCTGTTATTTATAAAATAATTTACATCAAAATATACTTAAAAGTAGAAAAAGTAAAAAAAAAAAAATGCATTGTGCATCATATTAATATTAATAGATTATAATTACTGATGCATTAATGTGAAAGCATCAATTTAATGTTGCAGCTGGTAAAGGTGAGCCTTATTTTATTTGTGCCTTATGTCTCTCTCTAAATATTTATATACAATGCAGGGGAGCATGGTAGTGATATCTTCTCTCAGACTATAGAAATAAATAATTTTATTTGTTGATTATATTTAGTACTATTAATCTGTGTAGTGTAGTGGAATAAAAAACACAATATTTGTCTCTGAAACATGGAGGGGCAGAAATATGAAGTTGAACAAAAAGTAAATACTACAAGTACCAGCCCTGTTGCCTGGATACGGTTACTGATGCCTTCTGGGTGAAGCAAGGCTGTAACTGTGATCTCAAAAGCTTTAATTCCAGGGTTATTAACAGCCAAACAACATTTAACCCTTTAAAAAGGTATGTGTGAAGTTCACCAGGAGTGTTTGTACCTGTTGCTCAGAGCTGTATCCGCCTGTGTGCCCGCACAGAGCAGCATGGACAGAGGAAACTGCTCCCTGCCATCTCCATCTCCATCTCTCAGGACGTCAAAGCTCAAACACGGAGCACCTGAACACCAAAACAACAACAACAAACAAACAAACAAACAAACTGTTGATTCACCACTGCAGGTTATACACATAAACACACACACACATATACACTTACACATACACACACATATACATAGACACACACACACACACACACATATACATACACACACACACACACACACACACACACACACACACACACACACACACACACACACACACACACACACACACACACACAGGGGGGAGATGTAACAGAGAGATGTCAGTGTTGGCTAACTTTAGGTAACTCGCCTGTTTGACACTCGTGGTACATGCGGTACGCGGACCGGTCCATCTCCAGCTCCTCTCCGGGCCGCAGAGGCTCAATCCCGGGCACGTACACTTTTTCTCCCCCCTCTCCGTCCGGTCCTTCCTCCTCCATATCGACCCCTTCGTCGTCGTCGCTGCCCGCTCCGTCCATCTCCTCCATCTCGCCCCCTTCCTCAGCAAACGTGTCCTCGTCGGGCGCAGACATCTTGGCAAGAAAGGTTTACTTCCGGTAAGCGGAGCGTGGCCACGTGGTTTAAACCACCCTGCACTGTCACCCCCTCTCTCTCTCTCCCTCCCTCCCCTGCTGCCTCACTCTCTCCCCTCACTCTCTCCCCCATTTACGGGAATTCAGCTGGTTCCTTTGGCGCTTGGTTGCTGCCAGGAAAAATCAGACTTGCAAATATTTGTCTCGGAAATTGCCCACAAGTAAATTCTGCCTGATATTATAAGAGATAAGGGGGGGGTGATTTTTAGGGGTCGTCTCCCCCTTCCTCCCCACTCTTCCTCCCTGGAGAACATTTGAGTAAGAAATTAGGTGATTCATTTCCAATATTTCAGTGTCATGTACTGACGCGGGACAGGATCTCCCGCATGCTCTGAGTGAGTCAGATGATTATTTAGAGTAAAAGTAACACGTGTAGACCCGCAGTAGAACAGCCTGGTACGGAGACCGGGGTCAGAAACCCCTGTAGTACCTCTGGTGGATTTGGACAGACAGTCTCGATGGGCTTTAAGGTATTTGCCAGTAACACTGTGCGCTGTCCATAATAAAAAGTATTGTCAACAGAAAGTCCACAGAAAAACAGCACACATGAGGCTTTTCTTACATTTTTCTTTTCCTAATTTGTCCTAAATTTGTCCTTTTGGCACCATGATGATCTAACTGTTTTGTAATTTGCATTAACTCTGCATTATGTTTGTCCCAAAACCTCAAAATGATGACATAATTTCAGTGGAAAAATAGGTCAGTGAAGCCAAAAGTCTGTTCCCATTGTGGCCAAGGCAAAATACCTCTGTGCTTTAAGGATTATGAAATTTCAAGGAGGCTCCTGTTAGGACAATGATGCACATTATATGCGTGGGTGTGTACATGCAGGGGCAAGTGCAAACACCGAATGGTGCACTTTAGTTTCTCATGTAGATCTTGACAGAAGTCAGAACATCTCTGGAGTTTTTGTTTGGTTTTTTTCCCCCACCCAGAACACATTCCTCTCTCATCTGCAACTCGTCTATCAATTTAGTCTTACAAAATAGTTGTAAAGGATTTTCTTCTTAAAAAGTACAGACAGTGAAGGTTGAGCTCACAGGAATGTGGAAACTCTGTGTCCTGTTGCTGGAATGCAAAATCATCAAATTATTAACAAAATCTAATTAATTTTTAGCAGAATGGACAAAAAATAGAAGTGTGTAAGTTTTTACTCAGTGGAGGAAATACTCAGATCTTCTACTGAAGCAAAATACCACCATGACAAAAACAGTGCAGTAAAATATGCCAGTATTGTTATTAAAATGTACTTAATGCAGACAAAGAATCCCTGTGATTGTTATAATTCTATTAGGGTAAGCATTGTCACTGCATTAATGGTAGCAAGCTAACTGAACAACTTAATAGACTGTTGAGTAATTTAATTTACAACAATACATCATATTTATATTTATAGATATAAATATAAATATAAATACCTGTATGTATATATATATATATATATATATATATTTATTTCCCTTTGCAGTTTAGTAGATACTCCAGTAAATGTACAAGTACCTCAAAATTGTACTTAAGTACAGTTCACTCCATCACTGACACACAACAAAGACCACGATAAATATAGCTTAGAACCATTGGTGTATTATATCCTGGTGAGTTAAACCAAAAACTAACAATGTATATATCTAAATGTCTTTAATTTACAATTATGTACAAAAGTAAACACCCATAGACTATAATCTCTTACATTTACATAACATTCATTGTAAACAGTGATGAATTCCACATCAACAGACGATGGCTTATGTGCATTGGCTTGCTCAGCATTTATCTCTTGTTAGCATAAAGAGCATAGCTAGCTCTAGAGAGAGGATGACTATACGTTTTATTTATATGTGTGATATCAGTTGTTACTGTTGACAGTGAACGTAGCTATGTGGACTAACTTTGGACATTAAATGCAACCGGTGCATGTCACTTCATATTAACAAAGCTTATCGCATTGACACACAAACACACAAATATAAAGAAAAAAACATTCAGTGCCAGGAAATGTCTTGCATTTTGTGTGCATCATCGAAAAAGATCCTCTTTTTTTTTTGTCTGTAACTATGGCAACAACCACCAGTAGAGTCTGAATAGCAAGGGGCTCCAGACAGAAGCGTAGTAGGATAGGGACGGAGGACCACCATTGGACAGCGGCTGTGTAATGTCTATCATCCTGTCAGGCTGTCCTTCATCCTCTTCAGCGCTGATAGCTCGGGTTGTCAAGAGTCTGGCCCTCGAGGGGCCGTAGTCCTTCCTCTCAACAGAGGGGGGCAAAGTGGGCAGGGTGCAAGTTTCAATAGAGGGTAAGCTCTCGACCTGGAGCCATCGAGCAAAAAGTTCTGATGTTAGGTTGAGGAGTTCTTCAGGAGAGGAATGTAATGTGGAGAATTTGTCCAGGTCCGTCTCCTCCTGGAACTTCTGTGAGAAGGAAGCACAGGAGAAATTAAAGATTTACAACAGACAGTAAACAAAGACACAAAATCTCCAGGAGCTCTTATTAATGTGCCGGTATGACAATCATTGTTTGAATCAAAAAATGAAAAGAATGCAGTAAGGAATCACATGTTACATAACCAGAGATAGACATACAATAAGGTATTATGATGAGATATATCTGAGACAAAAGCCTACCCCTGTATATTTGTTCCTGCTAATAATTCTGTCCAGTGTCTGCTTCAGATCGAGGATGAGGGAGTGATTTAAGTGCTCGTCCCAGAGGTTTCTGAGGAGCACATGCCAAGACTCCAAGAGGACTACTGCAGCAGGGAACACACAACACTGCAGGGAAAAGGCAGAGCAGCACAACAACCCTAAAGTTAGATTTACTGTGCAAAACACACGTGACAAACCACCAACAAGAACCACATCAATTGCTCAATTCATGGTACAACAATGTTTTGCTAAACTGAACATTTACAAGGTTGAAGATGAAGTTAATGATTATCCCGTTGAAGAAATTGAAATGTCTTTCAGCACAAAGCTGAGTAGATTGTTATATGACTCATTTATTGCACATCAAACCCCACTTCCCGTTTTCATCTGATAAGGAACTCACCGGATCAGTGTCACACAGCATGCTTCTAGTGTAGTGGTGCACTACATAGTAATCTTTAGGAAATACTGTCCGCTGGAAGAGAAAACAAAATAACAATAAGAGAATAAACACTCAGCTGATGAAATAAGCATTGTTTATTGTGACGATTACTATACTGTAACTATACATACACACTGTAACAACTGTGTGATTTATATTTTTTTTACCTACAGTTGTAGCAACTAACCACAACTACACAATGTTTGATTTCCTAAACTTTGCAGAGCTATGCAGGTCAGTCGTAAACACTGTTTGTCATCAGATGACAAGATAGAGCTGATTATGATCTTCACCTTTGACCGCCTCTTTGTACAGAGGGTGATTAATAAGTTATTCTTTAAAGCATAGTAAACTACATTTGGTAAGAAAAACATGTCATTCCTACAGAGCTTTTCACTTTGGAAACATAGAAAGGACTAAAAAAAAAAAAGAAAGAAAGATGAACAAAGTCTTTAAACTTACAAATCCAGTTGGGTTATGGTCAATAGTTCTTTTAATGTTTTTCACGCCTTCACAGTCAAAGCCACATCCACCGCATTGGACAGTCAAGAGTGATAGCAAGAGCAAAACTGTTTGAAGCATGAGTAAGAAGGACAAAGAGACAGATCATTCAGTTAATTGCTGGAAACTTTCTGTGGTTTGTAGCTTGTTCAAACTGCATACCTACTAAGACACATTACATCATTTCCTGCCTCAATTAGATATTACTGCAAAAAAACAACATGAAAACTGGTCTGTTGTTGCAACAGCTCTAATTCAATTTAGACACCAGAAATACTATTGTAACAGTCCAAAGTGACACAGCAAAAAATTAAATTAAATGATTAAAATTGACTATAAATAGTTGTTATTTTCCCACATACTTGAAAAATAAAGTTTGCACACACACAAAAAAGAAGCATTAACATAAACTTTAGTTTCTCACCTGGCAGTGACATCCTTTTATCTTTCTAAGAATGTACACTTCTCCATTTCTCTTGTTGACAGCTATCGCTCTGCAGACGGGTTTCTGTGTCAGTCTGTGAAAAGCAAAGTTTCTTGAGGTCTCTGACACAGAGTACGCTGCCTTGTCTTCTCCTTCACGCCTTGGTATTTAGTCTCCTTCTGGACATCCCTTATACATTCCTTCCTTTTGAGTTCCTTTGGTACTTTCCAAAAAAATGCCTCATTTATCCTCTCACGCCATCCTGCTCTCTCACTTTGGATTTTCCCACTTAAGCCTGAGTGACTGCAGCCTTTCCCTTTGAAAGCTTTTGTTTTTTACTATATCTCTTTCCCTTTCTCCCTCTCCCTACTGACCTAGAATCTTCCTCAACAGCCTAATTTGAATCCCTCCTCTCTCCCTCGAAACTGGTTAATGGATAAAGCGGGAGAGACACTGGCCTCCTCTTCTCTATCTCTCCCTCTGGCCACTCTGTGTATCCTCACTCGGCTCAAAGTGAAAGTGCTATGCTGGATTGCTTGTCTGCTCCCTTTAAGTCTCGGCCCCTCCCACTGCCACACGTTTTACCTCACTATTGACTGACCCGGCCCCCTCCCCCCTGTTCCCCACATTCCCTGACCCCCACCCTCTTACCCCCACCACCCTCACCCTCCCCTCTCCAAACCAGGCCCAAGGAGGCTTAGTCATGCAGTTGGAGCGTATGTTTTTCATTTAGACTCTTCCCCCACACCTCTGTGCTTTGGATCCATCAAGAGTCAATGCGCAACATCATCCTGTTTAATCATCACATGATCTTTCTGCTTTTTTTATTTTCTAAATAAATCACAGAATCAAATTCTTTGAAAATTTGACAAACAGGATTGCAACACTTAGTTAGAACTTGCCAGTCATTGCATGTGGGACAGCCTTTTTGTAACCATCACTGTTAAAATTGTCTCCAGAGAAGTGGATGGTGTGATTGTGACGTCTGATATTGTGCACAGCTGTCATCATCCTGTCTGTGGTGGTGTCGTTCTGTCCCCTCAGGTTATGTGAAGCATCATGTTATTTTGGTTTACATGTCAGGAGAGGACCTAATTACTAATGAAAGGAAGTGCAAAGTTGTTTCTTCGAGTCAAAGAGGAATTGTTCTTGTATGTGTCCTTTTTTGAACATAAGCCAAAAGAAGCAAGACTAGTTTCCCTGTTTCAATCTCCCCAGAGTGAAAAAAGGAGGCTAGAGAGCAACAGCCTCACTGCAAGCAATGTACTATAATGCTCCCCGAGGCATCATCAACTCGAAACCTCTTCACCTATACTATGTGTTTTAATGACGGGTATAAATATCCAGTCACTGTGCTGTCTTCCTGTTTCATACATCGCTCGCCTGTTGAAGGGAAGTTAACATGTAACTAATCTGTGGAGCTGCTGCAAATGAGGTTTGTGCTTCTATTAGTAAAACTTGCAAAATGAAATCCAGATTTGAGTTAGTCAGAGAAAAGCATAACAATGAAAAAGAATCTCTATTAGGACACTGGGGCATACAAACAATGTTGAGAAGTAGATCCATTTTAACAGGGAAAGCGGGAGTCATCTTAATATTTACAAATTCATTTTTCCTTTGAATTTGGACTGCAACATGATTTTTAAACTACTTTTATTTTTGCACAATAGCAACACGGGTATCGGTCAAAAAAAAAGAAGCAGCCTTTCAATTTAAACAAAGCCTTATGTTGCTGACTTTTATTGACTGAAGTCTGCAAGCTTCAGCAAAGCAACAGGCTCAAATAACTGTGGCACGAACAAAAAAAGACCCTCAGCTTTTTAGTGGATCAGTGTGCGACTGGCTCATTAAGAAGCCAAAATCCTGCTGATGTGGTTCGGCCTGTCCCGGAGTGAGGCTGTTATGCAACCGTTTTGTACATTTCAGGACACCAGAAAAACCTTAAAAGTGTTGTCTTACACCACTTGAGACTTGTTGGCTGTCGGCCATTCAAACAAGTGAGTGGTAGCAGGCAGGGAAATTCTGCTCTCCTCCAATTCACTCCCTCTTTATTCTTCCTGTTCGCCACAAGATGGAGCCAATTGTGGAATAAAAAAATAAAAAAAGGATTAAATGACTGTTCACATTCATTTATTTCATTTTAAAACATCAGTAAACGAGTAAACAAAGTGCAAAGTCTTTAATTGTAATAAGTTAAACTTCACATATAAGTATGATGAGGTCTTGTACAATAATTCCCTTTGACAAACAAAAGCCTCCTACATTATCCAAACTGACTGAACGTATTAATCTGTGCAGGATAATAATCGGGGTTAGGAACAGTAGATTACTCATTACTTAAAAAGACAATAATGGATGAGCCAAAGCATTTCTTTCATCCATTCACATTCTTCTTTCATTCCACTAAAAGTCCCTAACAGTTAGCAAAATGGATGATGGAAAGATTCTTGCTTTCACTTTCCTTTCTTTAGTATTTCTCTTTTGATTCAGACCCCCCTTTCTTTACCCCTCTACCGCCTACTCTTTCTTCATTCCTCTTTGTCACTGGCTGGGGCTCCTCTCCCCTCCTCGGACGGCTGTCATTAAATGACTCTTGTAGGTTTTGCTGAGTCCAGTCATCCAGAACTTGAGCAGTCTGACGTTGTCCTCCTCGCCCGGCCCAGTGGCGCCAAGGAGGGCCAAAACCTTCTGGGTGTCCTCCCTCCCTCGTCCGTCCACTTTGGAGAACTTGAACAGCACTTTGACCTTACTGAAAGAGAGAGAGTCTGCTATGAGAAGGCTTTCATATGCAAAATGGTTAAATCTTACATACACACAGGTGGTCTTTCATTAAGACTGAAAGGATTTTACTCACTTCATCCACTCTTCCTTCAGACACAACAGGCAGTGAGACACAACGTCCACAGACAAGTTCTCATTGGACAGGGCCACCTCAAGCTTGTTCAATAACGTGGGACCTGTGAAAGAAGAGTTCATCATATGATACTGCTAAATACCCCCATCATGTTTTTGGGGCCCTTTTACCCACATGTTAACTCAAAAACGTTCTGGAAGAACAGTTTTGAATAAGAGTTGGTGGAGAGATAGGGTATGGGCCAAGAAACAGATCAGTTTAAAAAAAAGAAAAGGAAAAAGCTGAACCAGTCTTTTAAGGACAACATTGTGGGATAAGACATGTTGTGTCTGGTTTACTTAAATGAGAAAGAAATCTGGCGCGTATAAAAATCAGGGTTTAGTGGACCACATTCTTTTGTATTTCAATGCAGATTCAGATAAAAAAAAATGTCATTGTCGAAAACATTTTCTGTGATGAATTAAAATTAAGTAATTAGTTTAACTCAGCACAACATTGGAAAGACATGCACTCTTTAATTCTGTGGTTCTAACCAAGAGGCAAAGGCCTGTGTATTATTTGAAATTGAAAGTGGCAGCAAACCTACAGTGGCTATTTATAATAAATCAAGGTATGTGTGCTCACCCCTATCTGTGGGCTGTGTGTTGGCACTGCTGATGGTGAACTGATAAAGTGAGGAGATATCATCTTCACACAGAACTGAGATCTGACAGCTTCTCTCTGAACTTACATCCACCAGCACTGAGAACTCTACAGGACAAACAAAAGGAAGGTAAAATCAACACAATATGACCAGCATGCAGAAGCCTACAGTTTGTAACAGCAGATTTCATACATCTATCACAGTCCACAGACTCTCCTGTACCTGAGGAGCCGACGTGGGTTGGAATAGGCACATCTGGGCTGAGACCCAGGAAGTTGCATTTGTAGGCCTCCTCATACTGAGCACTGTATGGCACAGAACGCACACAGCCTACTGGCAGCAAAGACTGATGGGAAACAGAGATTCAGATTATAACCATGTTTGGCTAACTGAGCATGTTAATTGCCCTGCTCAGCCACTCAGTAATTTTTAAACAATTTTTACATGTCACAATAGGGAAAACACAGGTGTTAATGATAAAATTAGTTATAGCTGAATTCCATTTAGCTGCTTCAGATGTGACATGTTGTGATGACATGTGTTAGTAGGAATCTCAATTTTAATGATAAAGAAAAAAGAAAAGTCATGATGATGTGACATTTGTTGTTCGGGTCTGTACCAAACAAACATGTTTTCTTACATCCATAGGCCAGAGTATCTCTGCAGCACTACAGTACTTCATTATAATGCTGATTTTTATAAAGAATTGCAGCTTCTGTGATTTGGATATGACACATAACACAACATTTGGATGAAGTGTGCTGCCCTAATCCGAACACGTTATCCAGATAAGGAAAAACACATGATAATTCAAGGTGTAAATGCATACAATCAGATCTGCCTGACCACATCTGGCTCGCAGTGGATTTTAAGTAGAAGTAAACAATCTGTACAACACCTTGCCATCCGTACACAATACAACACTGATACAGATATTTGTTTTTAGCCAACATAAAATATAGGTTGTTTAAAGAGTGAGAGAGTGACTTAAGACTGAAAGAGATAAGCCCCTAATTACTGCTTATTCATCTATTCTGTGCCATGAAAACATAAAAATTAAAAAAAGGCAAGTTAATCAACAGAACGTTGTGTATATAAACGATATACAGTAAGATATAATAGTGCAGCTGTTAACAAGGTGATGATTTATCTAACCGACACAACATTTTTATACAAATTTTTTATACAAAACAGAAGGATTCTTAAGGATTTGTCTTTTAAAAAGTTTCCTTTAACTCAAAAACTCAAAAAAATGATTTTTTCCCCAAACGTGCACAAGGTGCAAAGTGCAGGTTTTGCTGGAGACTGGAGATCCAACCTCAAGGAGGATAACGAACGTTTTAAAAATACCACGTGTGAACGCAAAAGGCAAGATCTGGTTGTTCAGTAACTTGTCCAGATACAGATCAGTTTGTTTGAGTGGGGTGACTTTCATGACTCACTGCAACACCTAAATGGAACAAAGCTATCGTTGTTAGTAACACTTGTGCAATTTTCCCGCTATGACAAGTCAAAAAGGCTGGGGAAGTAGAGCAAAACATATAACAATTTCATTGTAATCTGCAACAATTGCAAAAAAACATTATCAAAATTATCACAAAGCATTAGACTCACAAATCTTTCAGCAGTAAAATGGAACAAAAATTATATAATAAAAACAGTTACAGGCTCTGTCTTGTTGCATAGAATGTTCAGGGAAGCATGTACAGGCAAAGACAATTTCGAGGTGTGTAATGTTAGCATAAACAATATGTCTTTAGGCAAGAATTGGATCTTTATGGAGAAATAACTGAAACCAAACATGATCTGTTTCTATCAGATTAAAAGAAGGTATCAGTCATTTTTAATTAACCATATTTAAAAAAAAACCTTTCAACCTCAACAACATGAAAGGATTAGCGTCAGATGAGTGTAACAAACTAACAGCTGTGTTATACAGCACTGCACACATTATTTATACAATGGCTCAACTTAACAGGACCCTCGCTGGTCTTATCACTTGTCCCAATTTATATTTACCCACATCATAACGACACCATCTCTTCTAACGAGGCAGAAAGGGACACAGTAGTCGAGTACCTTGAGCACTGTAAAAGCTGATTGGATGAGCCCGGGGTCTGCGCCTCTCCATATGACCTGGTTTCCCATGAGCACATGCCACACTAGCTGACGAAACTCAGTCGCCCCGAGGACCTGCAGAACAAATCGACTGTAATGTACAAGAGCTCACAGATACAATGTGTGAGCTAATGGAAATATGTGAATGAGCTTAAATGTATTTAGAGATTAATGCCATAAAACTGTAAAACTACTGTCTGCAGCTTTTTATCTCCCCTTTTATGTATAATTATGCACACCTAAATGTCCAAAAGTAGCCAAGTTTACCTGTCTCAAATGCCTCAGTGACCTAAATTTGGGACCAGGTAATTCATCTAATTTTGCATCATCAGACAGGAAGTCATGGCCCAGCTCGCTCTCCGACGGGGGCCGCTGCGACTTTGAAGTGCCTCCTTCGGCTCCCTCCCAGCAGCTCATTTCCTCTTCTTGCTCTTTTGGAAACAGAGAATGACATAAGAGCGGAAATAACAATGACCAAATGTTTTCAAGCCGAGGGTCATTGCAAATCAGGGGATTTCTGGTGGAAAATATTACAAAGTGCCGTCTCTGTATCATACTCCATATATAGAGTCTGACGTGCTACAAAACCTCTGGTTTGATCTAATTTCTTATCTATGACTAATTTAGTAGATTTATACTAATATGATGTAACCGAAAACAAAACTGCTCGTCCTGTAGTTCGCACTACATCAAAAAACTTTTTTATTACTTATAATTGATGATTTTAATTATTGTATTTTCTTGTGTTGTAATTTGTGTGTATTTGTTAATCACTTGCTGATTGTAATTTTGAAAATTGTTACAGAAATAAAGTTTATTACTTTCTTACAACATCAGTATAAGAGAACAGGGTGTTAAAATTCCAGACCTAAGAGCTGCACTGGACTGGGAAATATCTAAATCTTTTAATCACTTTCTAAATCTTTACTAAAAATTGTGAAAGTTCTTGTCCAGTGGATTTGATTATAATTGTTTGAATGTGAATCACTGTGTTTTTCTGGCCAGAGTGTTTCCGCACTGGATGACCCAGTAAATCAGACTTTAACAGGAGACTCTTCAGACTGATGACAAAACCATGGCACATTGTGCAAACACATGACATCTGCTGACATCACTCCCCACCAAGAGACCAAACCTTGCCTGGAATGCAAGCCACATTGAAACTCTGCCAAAGTAAATGATTTTCCATTTTCTTTTTTTTTTTTGTGGGGGGGCCACAACAGTAAGAACTCAGGTTTTGTATATGGGACACACAGTCTACCAGGTGAGCAATTGGGGCATGCCCCATCTTCAGCTTTTACTCAGTTACAGGCTTGAACAGGTGGTGAGATTGGTCAATAAAAAAGTTTCCATGACAGGATAGTTAAAATACAATGCCGTCTAAAGACAATGTGTCTACCTGTCTGTCTCTCTATGAGCACCAGTGTGTCTTCAGTGGGGGCTCCCTCCAGCAGCTTCTCTGTCAGACGACTCCCACAGGCTTTCAGCAGCCTGGAGATGATGTGCAACCACATGTTAAGGTGAGAGATTACAAGGGGATAGACAACAACTAGTGTGTCATAGTGGGACTGACAACACATCAACTCACCAGCTAAATGAGGAGTGCAGGCTGGCCCAGAGATTCTGATGCTGAGTAAGAGAAGTTAGTGATCGGGCTGCGTTGCCACTCCGTTGGTGAGGGAAAACTGCAGGTGAGAACCCACTGTTCATCCTCACTGCTCGCTGGGGACAAACTCCTTGTTCATTGTCAAAGACCTGATGGAGAGAAGAGTATGAAGACATTAAGTGAACTAATATATATGCATGTAAAATAAGTGAATAAACTAAATAAAAGGCATTTCGCAGTTGTGCGTGCACCCTACCTTGAGGGCTGTGCTTTGCAGGCTCTGTATAGTGAGTCTAAGGTGTCGTAACAGGAAAGGCCAGGAGTTAATAAGGTAGATCCTGTCCATTGCTACCATGACGATACTATACCAGCGCTGGAAGCCCCTGGCCAGGCTGTCTTTGATAAAGAAGGTGTGTGAGAACACAAAACCATGTTGCTCGTCTCCAAAGAAAATTGGCCCTTCACGGCCGGGACACACCTGACGATAACGACAGAGACAAAACAAAGGAATAAGAACACTTGAGTTAAGTTTATTTAGTGCATGAGATGCATGACTCACACACGCATACATGCAGACGTACGTCACTGTTTACCTCACAGCTGAGGCTGCGTACGCAGGCCTGGCGGACTACGCTGAACAGCTGTGACTGTCTGGGATGCTGGTGGCTCAGGAAGCGAATGCCTGTTTCATCATCAATGCTCACAAAGCCCGGGTGAGATGCAGGCAGAGAGCGACATCCCTGTGAGGAAAGGAAAAGAGAAAAATTAGTACTTTGAGATAGATGATAACGCAATGGACTCACTTTCATAGCAAAACGTTAGCTAGAGTGTTGTATTATGGAGGGAACTACACATTGAGTTTGTGATAAGCTGAAGTTGACATTTCGTCCTCAGCCTGTGTCACTCACATCACACATTTCTCCTTTCTGTGTGGCCGAGCTGTTGGCCCTCATGGTCAGCCCTTCACCTTCCCGGTCACCATCCCGGTCCCTGTCTCCAGGCACTGGGGCACCTGCCTGGGATGAAGGGGACGGGGATGGAGGGTGAAGTGCCTCGGTGCAAAACAGCGTCCGAGGGCCATGGAGCTCACAGAAGTGACAGAGAGCAACCAGAGCATTCATCTGAAGGGGAGAAAGTGTCGAATTGAGCATTAACAAGCAGTTTATAACACAACATTTGATTCTCTTCATTCACTTACATTTACTAACTTAACACTAGGGTTACCACATGCTCATTACAGCTGATAACATCAGATAATCTCACCTTCAGCACAAGTTCAATACATGACCGGTGCTCCTTCACAAAAGGACATTCATTGGCCGAAACGTTCAGAAAAGCCGTTACACAAAAAGCGACATATTAAAATAGTGGTTCAATTCTTCATTTGGTCCATCTTTCAACAGTCCGTGGTTTTCAGACGTCTCAGGTTTGAGTTTTGTATACTTTCTAGCTCTGTTTTGTTCCGTAGCTAACTAGCGACAACAGACAGTGTCATGTGACGCAGAGTCACGCGCTCCAGCACAGATGACGTATGGCAGTTAGCGGCGCCACTTTTTCTTAATTTTAACCGTTGAATCTAAAATATATCAAGTATTTTTTTAAGTGATAAGAAAGTAAAAAAAACAACAGATTTGTTTGCTGATGTCGAACTTTATTTAATGTTTCAGCAAAGGCATTTTTTTTTACTAAGGACAAAAAACTACATTACCCATCATTCCCTGTGAGTCAACAAACGCAGGGTCAAAGGGCGACACACAAAAAATCAGAGTCGTGTGCTGCTTCGGTTAGTATGTCAAAAAGGTGTATAAATATTTTCCAGGGGAATTTTTAAAGACGTTTTTATGTTGTAAGGGAATTATCTAAAGCTTAAAAGTATTATTTTAGCGGTTGTTACATTTACAAAGTTTGTAAAACGTTTGTGTGTTGTCGCTAACAACCACTTCCGCACTGGGTGAACTGGTGTAGAGAACTAAAATTTCCAGTTTAATTTACATTTAGACTTTTTTTTTTGTTGTTGTTGTTGTTTTAGGAGTGTTTTTATTTGTTTTTTTTACGGTTTTACTTTGTCATTCTGTCAAGTGAAACAAAGCTAAAGGTGTAGCAGCAAACATTACAGTGACACAGCGGACTTATTTGAAGTAAAATTGTCTTTTAAATCACAGAGCATGGCATCAGACGGATTAAGTGTGCCTTCAGTTCCACATGAGGACCAGAGAGATGATGGGACCCACTCCAGTCCAGAGGCAGGGGTCCCCGCTGAGCCCAACAGTGACAAAGACACCACAGCAGGTAAATCACTGGGTGTAGTTTCACACACAGTAACTGTTTGTTGTTTATCAGGTGGCTCAACTTCATTTGAGACAATATATAGCTATTAGGTCAGACCTCATATTAAAGAGACTGTTATCTACGGTGTAGCAGTCTCTTTAATCAGTCTGTCTTTTCTAGGTAATCACATTCCTCCCTCTGTGAAACAGTTCTGTGTTACTGAGTGCAATTTGATTTTGGTAAAGTCTTAGTTATGTTGTTGCTGGAGCTTACCTGGAAAGGAGGACGTCAAATAGTGAGGGGAATACTGTAATGACTGCCAACATTTTCACTTCATGCCGGACTGCTCCGCTGAAAATGTGTTACGAGTCAGGAAGTGAGTCAAGAACCATGTCGGCTCTAACCACCGGAGAAAACATTCACTGTTTACATACAGTTGTCTCACTGGGCTCAAAGCCAGATATAACATTGCCAAGAAACATCAGAATTATTATTTCATACAGTTACTTCCAGTCAGACAGCAGTGTTAAGTGATCATGACATGATCCGACCCACCTGTCCCAGCCAGTGCTATCTCAGTGGGAAGAAAGGCATCTGATAATCAAAGGATTTGGGCCATGAGTCACATCCAGTTCCCCTATCTGGAAATAGCATTACAGGGTGTGTGGTATGAGTTTGAGTTTACAGGCAACCACGTCTCAACTACTTGGCTGACATTTGAGTCTTCTGGGTCGAGTCATTGCCACCTGTTACATGATTTATACTCTTGGGATGTGTATTGGAGAGGCAATATAGTGTTATACAGACATTTTCCACTGTCATTTGTGGATTTATCGCACATTTATTTTTGATTTGAATTGTTAAGCAATATCAGACCTGCTTAAGATGAAGATAAGAAGGAATCTGGGAAAAAGACACAATATTTCCTGACTTGTGAGCATATCTCACTGACACGGAGGCTCATATAAGAGACACAACTCAATCATGTATTGAAAACCTCGTCTGCTGCTCTGAGTATGAATCACACATAATGCTGCATATTAATATTTTCATTTATCCTGCTTGCTGGCTTAAGTAAACAGTCAACCCTCTAATCTGAGAACATCCTGCCACACTGTTGTAGGTATTTCAGTGTAAAACTGCTATAAACTGGCAGGGTGTACTTTCCTGTGTACCTGTTGTACCTATTGGGCTCTCTCAGTCTGGCTCAGCTGTCTGGTGGGGCCCTCAGTTCGGTCAGGCTGTTGGGTGATCATGTTTGTGGAGGTTTTACTTCATGAACTCTTTTAACTAAAAGAGAACATCAACATACTGGAGCAGAATTATGGGCCGTCAGACGTCCCGAAATGTTAATCTCATTTAAATGCAGAGTCCATATTGAGAGTCTGCTCACTTTCATTACAGGCTTTCATTCCAGTGTAATTACACGTCTCTCTTGTATGTCACGTCTGTTCTCACTTTCTGTCTCTCTCTCATTGACAGAGTCAGTAAAACGAGACCACGTTGAAGTCAGCGTGTGCCAGTTTTTCCTGATGGGAAAGTGTCACTTTGGCCACAGATGTCGTTTGTCTCACAGGTCTGCTCGCCTTATCTTGTTCAACAAACTCACCAGCAGGATAAAGGATGACATTTAAATGCTTAGTTATACTCCTGACATGTGCATAATTTATTTTTAGTAACTGCTGCACTTAATAAATGGCTGCCTGAATGTTAATATATATATATATATATATATATATATATATACTCACATGTCGTTGTGTGCAGTGATTATTTGTTGCTGTAATTGTTAATCTTCTCTCCAGTGTGGAGATATCTTCTTAAAGCAATTTCTAAATGACTTCTGTAACAGTTCCAGCCACCTATAATTATTTTATTGCACATCGGGGCATGTGAGTGTTGTTTTAAGACAGACTTGAAAGAAATGTGACTCTATCCTTTAACTACATGTTGCTAATAGCTGATGTATGGCTGCCTGAATGTTAAAGGAGCAGTGTGCAAGATTTAGTGGCATCTAGACTGAAACTTCCTCGCTTTAACCTCCCCTTCCAAGCACGAAGGAGAAACTATGGTGGCTGCGAAACGTGTGAAAAAAAAAAGCAAACAGCCCTATCTACAGATTGACCATTCAAGGCTACTGTAGAAACATGGCAGTTCAACATGGCGGCTTCCACGGAAGCATCTGTAAATATAAACGACTCATTCAATAACAAAAACATAAATTTTTTTATATAAATGTTTTTATACAATAATGAAAACATACCTATAAATATTATATTACATTTCTGCCAATAGATCCTCCTGAATGTTTCACACTGGTTTTATCTGGTTATAGAGAAACTTTGGAAATTGAGAACTATATGGTGTGAATTTTGTATTTCTATTGTTGCCAGTTGCTGTTCATGTTGCACCCCAGGCAGAGATTGTTCAAGTTAACACATGCTCCATCAATCTGTGTCAAATGGGAATAAGACTAATCGGTTCTTTCCATTTGTCATGTTTCATGTGCATATCTGACATTTTTTCCACTTCTGTTGCTGTCATTCCTCAGTGACCCATCAGTAGATGATTCAGGGGCTGTATCTCCTGACGAGGATGACAAAGTCGATCGAGAAAAGATGGAAAAACACAAGAAGAAAATAAACAAAGCAACAAAGCCAAAAGATGAGGCAAAAGGTCACTCCATATTTAGCTAGTTTCCTATCATCTGATAATGACAACATACTCTTAAGAGGTCTTTAACATTTTATTTTAATATCTTATTCTCCTGCAGATGTGAACAAAAAGCCTCGCATGCGCACAGCAGATGATGTTATCTCTCGGATCCTATGGGACGCGTCAGTGGATGCATCAGAGTTTGTAGTGGGCTATGTGGATCGTTTCCTTGGTGTGCTGGAGCGTCCCTTCAGTGAGTTCAATTGGGACACCAACCCCTGTGACTGTGATTACACTGTTGAGCTGGCCCTGCCCAGACATAGGATCCAGTACTTCACCTACAGAGGGCACCGCGTCTGGGACCGCCACAGCAGGACCGACAGGGTGTTTGGCTCTACCGGTCAATCTCTGGCTCCCCCCTTTGGAGGGGAGGAGGAAGTAAAGGGTGAGAGAGGACCCTTTATTGCTACCCTACCTCACATACAACCTGATACAATCTTACATACACTAAATTTACACAAGCCAGTACACTCTACAGTTTACACTCACCAAGTATAATAATTTCTTTCACAAGAAGGAAACACAGAGGACCAAGAGCAACAACAAGACCTCCCTCAACCAACAGAAGAGCGGCCACCTGCTGTCCGTGGGCAGGAAGAGAATGAAACAGAGGACTGTACTCATACCGAGAACACACATCTGGAGGGAGAGAAGCCAAGTGAAATGAATATTCACAACCTGGATTCAACACAAGCTCCAAAGTGTAAAGGAAACACTTCTCAGGAACAACAAGAATCACAAGGAGCATGTGTTACAGAGGAGGCTGAAATCAGGTCTGGAGTTCATGTTCATCCCTCAGATTTAACTGAGAACAGGTAGCAACTCCTGAACAGAAAAAAATGGTGTCTTTGTGTTCAATAATCATATCGTTTGCTGACTTAAAGTCAGAGTGAAACAGAACTTGGAGCATCCTCAGCTTTCGCAATGTGGCGTATTTCAGGGTAAAACAGAAAAGAGGTGCAACGATTAGTCGATTAATCAATAAGTGAATCGACAGAAAATTAATCAACCATTTTGATAATCGAACAAGAGTTTAGTCGTAGATTATAGTGAACTGGATATCTTTGGGTTTTGGACTGTTGGTCGGTCAAAATTAAACATTTGAAGACCTGATCAGTGACACTTTATTGATAAAACGATTAATCAAGAAAATAGTAATAAACATTAAGAAGATAATGATTTAAATCACATTTGATTGAATTGCTAAAAAGTGTGCACAGCTTAACAAATACGGTGTCACAATATGGAGCGGTAGAGGACCGGACATGAAAGAAATGGCTAAATGAATCCTCCACCACGCTCTTTAGGATGTGTGAACAAAGTTTTTATTAACTGACATCCAAATAAACATGTGTGACCCCAGGATATTGCTTTGCTAGCTAGTACAACCCACAAGCTAACAGTGTGGTTTTATGTAATACAGAATAAAAGCATACCCCCCTGAGTTCAAGATGAGTCATTAAAAAAATGTTTTTACAGGAAAAAAAGAGATTTGGATGTGAAAATGCTTCTTTTTTTCACTTATATTTGGTGTATAACAATAGATAACAGAGCAATCAACACAAAGGCACAAGATTAGAACTTAGAAAATGCATTTATGTTTACATTCAGTAAATATTATGTTGTATGACTAGAGAAGCAATCTTGCAAGGTACTCTCCTTCCTCTTGAGTAATTTTACTCACTGTTTTAATTTTAGACTCAAGGCTTCAACAGACCAGACATCCTTGTCGCAAAAAGATGGAGCAGGCGTAAAAGAGGAGGCTGAGGAAGAGACTTTGGCAGAATGGCAAGAAATCTGGGAAGGCAATAAAGATGCCTCGGTGAGTACATGACAACTAAATGTGATTTACATTCTTGTTTTGCAATCACAGTCTCATGTTTAGCACAGTGATTATCTTTTATGTTCCTTTTCTGTAACACGCAGACTGGTCTCGGAGCCCAGAACATCAGCCAGAGTGGTCCACCTCTGGAGCAGAGAGAGGAGAAGCGTGGTGGTCGCCCGCCTAAGAAGCGACCCACACACTTCATCACCTTCAGGGCAAACACTCCTGCTATCCTCTCCTGTTTCCAGCAGCTGCAGGAGGAGCTCACCTCCCTTCTACCCTCCTCTGCCCCTCACTGGCAGACCTCCTCCAGCCTTCATGTCACCCTGTGCCTCCTGGTGCTGGCCGGCCCAGCTGAGGTAGCCGCTGCCGGGGAGGTCCTCCGACGGTTTGCCCATTTGGATCGCAATCCCCCGGTGGCTCTGACCTTCCCTCTGAAGCTGAAACATTTCAACGGGAAGGTGCTGTACCTGAGCCCCCAGCCTCAGCTTCACCTCCAGCAGCTCAACAGCGGCTTGCAGGAGGCCTACAGGGAGGAGGGCTGGCTCCACAGGGACTCCTACAACCCCCGCTACCACCTCACACTGGCCAAGGTAGAGGGCGGGGAGGGAGACAGGATTTTTGAAGGGGTTGGGGACCTGAAGGTGGGGAAGGGTTTAAATTTTGGCCGTCTGCCTGTAAACACCTTACACCTTTGTGCCATGGGTGTTCCCAAAGTAGATGGTTTTTATGAGTCTGTGTGCACAGTAAATCTTCGATGATAGAAGAGTGTGGCATTTCATGTGCACACACTACATACGTGTTTGTTGATACTTTAGCGATATGACTGGGTTCAATACCTCTAAAATTTGCACAAGCCACGTGGCCTTAGCAACCAAATATGATGTCTGTGTGTTAATTATAAGATGCACTTTTAATGATAACTGAGTGGAAGGCATTTTTATAGGAACAACTAAAGGGAGTTAAATGTATCTTTATGTAGCACAATGGCAAACACACTACGTTCAATTATACTAAACTACATTAAGATGTAAAAGGATACAATGGTCCCACTACACTTGATTTTACATTTTGATTTAGAATATGTATTTTCCTGGGTGCCCGGTTAGCTCAGTGCCCCCTTTCCTGTCTGTCTTCAGCTGTCACTATCATAAAGGCAATGAAAGCCCCCAAAAAAACATTTAAAAGAATTATAAAATATGTATTTTCCTCAATTAATGCATTTTATTCCGTTACATTATGTGTTATATTGATAGAAATGAATGTAGTCTACACAAATTACAAGGAATTCATAATGATAAAATACATCTATAACTAAAAGCACAGGTGCTTGCTTTCAGTCTTTGAATAGAAGAATATAAAATCCGATTGAGTGAAGTACATTCATTGCACTTGTGAAGTCTAGTTTTCATGTTATCGTGCAGACTTTCTTTCATCTTTCTTATTTGTTGGCTCTAAAAAAAAAAAAATAAATAAATCATAAATATACTGTAAAGCATGCAATTGCTAAATGAAACACATTTCAAATTTTTAACTAACATTATCAAATAGTTGACTGAAAGTACGAATATACAATAGTACATTAATTGCACTTGTGAAGTCTATTTTTAGTCTTCTTATTTGTTGGCTTTAGTTGATTTTGATTTATTAGCGTAAAAATGCACTATAAAGTCTGCAATTGGTAAATGAAACGCATTTCAAAATTTAAACAAAAAATAATCAAATACTTGACGAAGAAAATTCTTTTGGCAGCTGTTTTGATCATCGATTAATCAAAGTAAAGCCAAATGACAAAAACTTTGTCGTTCTAGCATGTTTAGTTGTAAGGACATGATTTACTTTGTTATAGTAACATGAAGCTTTTTTTTTACTATGAGAACGTGTTATTGGTCAAAATCAATAATTAAATTGAGAAAATGATCAACAGATTAATTCATAATTTACATTGTTTGCCCAAGTCAAAAGGGAACTGTCAGTGTGAGTTCTCCTGCTGTAGTAGTATGAAATCTGCCTTCAGACCCTGGAGGAGACTCATGCAGAGTAGAATACCTACTTTATTAAAATAATAAATTAACTTATAATGCCTTCAGTAGACATTTTTTCCTCCATTTATCTGATGTAGAGCTGCACGATACTGTAAAACCATCATGTTGCCATTATCTTTGACAGATATTGCAATATGATTCACAATTAGTGGAAATGCATCAAAATTTTAATTTTCACTGAAGAAATTATTACAACCCCGGTCATATGACATTTGTACCAAACAAACATTTCTTATATCTGGAGAGCAGGATTTGTAGGCCACAGTACTTCAATATAATACTGTTTACACACATTTTACCTTTTTTGTTTTGTTTTGTCTTTTTTTAAATAAAAGCTTCTGATTTTGCACTTTGCCATATTGCTAATATATATAATATTCCGATTAATTGTACAGCTCTGATCTGGATGGGCCAAACAAGGTGTTTGGGTATGCTTCACTTTGATATCTACTGTTTTAACAACTACTCAGACAGGACGTATGCACCTGCCATGAAGGCGAATGTACAGGACATAAATTGTCCATGAGGGTAAAATATTACAGTTATTTTTTACAGCCATAAATTTACCAAAGTGGTTGTATTCTGCGGCTCATAATTTCCTGTCCTAAACAATCTGTTTTACATGAATATTGTATGGACTTGTATGACTTTGTATGCTTTCACAATGAATTATAACCATTAGATTGTCGAGGACATTAAATATTGAATTGGTTATTTTAAATCCTGTGAGTGGTGATATTTTATCTGTGCAGTGACGGATGGCCTGGATGCGGTACTGTTGCTGTGCATTAACATACAGACACACAGAGGCTGCGTAAACGCTCCCTGAGCAACTCTTGCATACATAATATAATTTTCTGTCTTCTTTCCCCTCTTCCTCCCAGATACACACATATACATAGGCTATATGAGTCAGTGAGTATGCTCTGTGGCTCTCCACTGTTTGCTCTCTCGCTCGCATTATCTCCCTGCCTCCCTTCCCCCACTCTCTTTTCAGTGACACAGAAAAACTAACGCCGCCCCCTCCCTCTTTCCTCACTCGCTTCTGCCCCCCTTTCTGCAATGGCAGACAAACACCAAACTCGTTTTAAAACGTGTTTTTGCCGTTATATCTCCAATTTGCATTCCTCAGCCAAAAACCACCCATAGAGCATCATCTCCATCAGGACCCTCTCATCCCTCCTATTGTGTTGTTGCATGTTCTCCTCCAGCCTTCTTGTCACTGATTCAGTGTTGATGCTGTTCTGCAGCCTCCACTGAAAACTGGTTTTGCCTAAAAATCCGTTGCACGATGCTTTCCCCCCTCTCTCTATTCATTGTTCACCCCATCTCTCCCTCCCTCCTCTTTCTCTCAGCATCACTCACTGGGAACCCACATTTTTTTCCCCCTTCTCAGTATTTTATGTTGCCTTTCCCTGCATCTCCCCCCTCCCCTTATTTATCTGTATGTGTTTATTCGCTTCTCTTACTCCAAGTTTATGTGCATCTCTACTTCACATTAGCCCTCGACACGTCACAGCCCAACAGAGTCATAGGCAGGAGTTCAGGGTTCTTTCAAAAACATCTCCTTTCATTATTATTTAGCGCACACACAGTTGGCTGGCAGCATTTTTTACTCTTTCTCTTAGTAATCTGGTCAGGGTTCAGTGTGGTAGTCTGGACAGAGATTGGTCCGGTTGATGGGAGTGTGCGTGGATGTTGGTGGGGGTCGACATTAGAAGTGTGCCTTTGGTATCTCAGTATGAAGTGAGTGAGGGGTTAGACCCCCGCTAATCCCCGTTAACAGATTAATTATCTTTGGGCAATATCGTGTTGCTGCCGTGTTGTGGAGTCGCTTGGGCGTTAAGCTACGGAGGGCTACAATGCAACGATAAAGGGTCCCTTAGGGGTGTCTCCTCAATCTTAATCCCTCTCTCGCACTCTCTCTCTCGCTCGCTCGCTCGCTCTCTCTCTCTCTCTCTCTCTCTCTCTCGCTCTCTCTCTGTCTCTCACTCTGTCTCTCTCACTGACTTGCTTTCACTGAGAGCTTCTCTCCCATCCATCAACACAAGCACCTCTCCACTGTCACCAGACAACTATACAATTATTGGCTATTTAATATTTCAATAACTGCAAGACTTATTGGTTTATTTTTTCCCTCCTTTTTCCCCCATTTTGACATCTTTTTGGCATGTCTCCAAGCCATTTTTTCAGGATGATGTTTTTTCAAGAGCATCAAGCATTGATGGCTGGCAGTATACCTCTTTGAGTGGGTAAATATTTCACGGACACCGGCAAAGAGAAGACACAGAAGGAGAGAGAGAAACCTCCCAACGCAGCCGACAGAGGTAAGAGACTGATCTCTCTCTCTCCCCCCTTGATTATGGCTTAATTGTTGATGTGGTTGCAGAGATTAATCAGCAGTCAAGTGATATATAATATAAATGCACATTACACTACATCACAGTGTATTGCTAATTTGGATCCATGCCTATCTTTTCAAATATACTTAATGGATGTCCATGAAACCATTACACCACATTACCAAAATGGATTCATGCTTATCTTTTTCAACAATCACACCTAATGGATACATCCTCACCCATTTGCAGAATAAATACATTGTCAGATGATGCTGTAATAATTTTGATTGCATCCAATTATTTTCCACAGTTATAGTTTCTTCTGTCTCATTTTTCACTGAATGCTTTTGGACAATTTGTTTAATCTGCAGGATCATTTGGTATTTGGCTCTGTTGGGGTTTGTCTGTACGGTCAGTAGTGTGGAAGCATTTTGTCACCATCAACTTGTCACGCTGGACTCTTGCACACATCAAACACTGATTTGCTCTGACTTACTGGCTATGAGCTGCACTCACTTACCTTCGGTCAGCTGCACTCACTTTGAAGGTTCATTGTTGGAACCGGGCAATCATTCTGCAGGGCAGATGAATGTAAAACATCAAATTTTTATTGAGAATATTCTTATTTCCCTGTTGCTTCACACGGTGCACGGAGGTAACTTAACAAAGATGTTAATTAATTTCTCCTGACTGATGTTGTGTGTTACGAGGCTGTAATGCTTTCTCATAAATTACAGTCATTAAGGTTGTTGTTTAAGAGGCTGTTACTCAGGCTTTAATTCGAATCATAAGAGATTTTATGAGACAAATTAGAAATGTGAAGCAAAATGACTACATTAATTACATCATCCGATCACGAGAGTTTTGCTGTCGTAAAAAAAAAAAAAAGATGAAGATGCAGGTGGAGATGATTTTCCTGTGCTAAAGATGATCTTAAATCCAGCTGACAGAGATGCTTCAGCCTTGCTCTCATTATCTGCCTCACAAAATGGCTCTTTTCTTTACATTCAGACATCATGGAGTCTCATATCATGCAACTGATTTCATTCTCTGTGTCGTCTGAGCTCCGTGCAGACTGAATGCAACAGAAAATGTTTTTTTTAATTTTTCTTAAGAGCTCACGGTTGGGTGAGAGTCAGTGGTTTCTTCGCCATCTCACTCCTTGTCTCTCCTGTTTTATCTTGTTTTTCTCTCTCTATCTCTCCCTGCCGACTGAGCTCAAAAATCACATTTATTTGGCTTCAGTTATGCAATGGCAAGAGGCATGATAAAAAGCTGGCAGCAGACATCACGTCAACTTGAGGCTTCCTATCTGTGACAACTGCTGAGTAACTGCTGCTCTTGGACTGTGAACCCCTCCCGCCCTTCACTTCCATCAGCACCTCATTAGGTTGCCTCAATAACTTTCTGGGTTGCTGAAGAATCCTACTTGAACTTTGAACTGGCCTCATCACTGTCTGATGCCACAGTAAGACAGATAACCTGCTGTCATGCTGGTGATTCGTAATTCTTTATCTTTAATTGTTTGGTATTGGGTTTTATTGGCCTCACAGTGGAAATCATTACTGGTACAGTGTTGTCATCCATCAAAGGAAATGTTTCACTGCATTGACCCACTTTATTGGTTGTGGTGATCCCAACAGGAAGACTTGATTCTCCTTTTGATTTGATTGTGAATTATTCCCTTAATTGATTATTACGCCTCCTCAAATTTTATCCAATCCAAAGTCTGATAAATGCACCTCATATACATCTAATCTAATAATTTCACTCATGATAAATGATCATGAAGGAATGCATAAATATAACACAGTACAGTACACACAGTCTGTTTACACTGCTGATGTGTGGTGGATGGATGCAGTGCTCACAGAGTGTGAACTGTCATGTTCAGCACAGTTTTAATAAGGGAAAATGGAGAGTTGGCAATGATTCGATTTGTGACAGTTGGGCTGCTGGAACCATTAAGGTGAACAGGCTTATTGTAATGGGCTTAGAGCAGCCCTGTCTGGCCTGTGGGCGAGCTGTTAACTTGTTCTGCACCATGACTGCCCCAAATCTGAAAGGGAAATTGTCTGGCATTGAATGTGACATGGGGCTGAATCTAAACTTGTATCATGCACAGTGTAACACAGTTCTGTGCAATGGACTGTAAGCACGAATCAATAGGGATAGTACAATCCTCTGCAGTGTGGAATACTGTGCCGATTGAAAGTTGTATTGAACAACAGCTGCATTAAAAGATAATAAAATCCAACACAAGCCACTAATTCAGAATCTATCTGACATTATTGGATCCTGCTTCAAATGCAGAATTGTATCTGTGTGTCATATCAGCATTGAGCTGAGCTGTATGATTCTTTGTGTTTAAGCATCAGTACTGTTGTAGTGAATGGTTCTCTCTCTCTCTGAGCTGTCTTAAAACGCTACTTTCTTAAACAGTAATGCTCTGATGGTCTCTTAATCTGGACAGCCAGTATCAGAAGCCTACCAGGCTCTTGTCTCGCCCTCTGTTCCCCCTCTGCTCCGTCATTGTAATGAGGATTCCAGTGTGTGTTTTGGCTAACCGGATTTGCCCTTTGTATTTACCCTACTTTCTCCCCCTTGGCCGGCTTTAGTGAGAGATGCTGAACACTAAACAGTGGTTGATTTACATTGAAATACATTATTCTTTGTGTAATGGTTTTCTTGGTGCCTTATATAATGTTCTCCTGTTGTGCCAAGAAGACTTCTTCAAAGACCCCGTATATCCCCTATATAATCCATGCTGCTCCCTTTTGATAAGGTTAAGAGAGAGGTCTGTGAATAATAATCATTTGTTATATATAGGCATGTAATCTCCCTCTGTTTAAGGCAAAAACACCCTCTGTCTTCAGCTAATGGTTCATTTGATTAATTAATTGTTTGTCCTTTGAAATGTCAGAAAAATGCCATCAGAAGTTTCCAGACCCAAAGTTACATCTTGAAATATTTTGTTTTCATCCAACCAACCAAAACCCAAAGATGTTAAATTTAAAGGTCAAGTGTGCAACATTTAGGAGGCTCTATGGGCAGAAATGGAATATTCATGTTTTCATTAGTGTATAATCACCTGAATATAAGAATTGTTGTGTTACCTTATAATGAGCTGTTTTATCTACAGTGGCCTTTCATGGAGTCCGCCATGTTTCTACATGTACTGGTTGTAGACAGGGCTTTTCACGAGTTTGGCAGCCACCATTGCTCGTGCACACTTCACAGCCGGCACGAGTGGTGTTCAGTTAGTTGCAATCTGTAATTTCACCGCTAATAACTAAATCCAACACACTGGTCTTTTCAGAGGATATGAAACACAGGGAAATTGGAGAGTCTTTAAAATGCTGTAACCAGCAAATACTTT